TAGAAATAGTGATTTTGATTATCGCATCAAAGGCACAGTCAGACATTTTCTAAATTAGTGTTTATAAATGAAGCTAAATATCATCACTGCAAATGAAAAATTACAATTAGAAGATCAGTAGAAACTATTTTCAATTTTTTTTCGGGGTTTTTTCATAGTTATAAACATGGTATTTTGTGGTAAAATAATTTTCTCCTTCCACATACTGAGGTGTAAGGAAGAACATACCAGCGGAAAGAGTACATAAAAACGTAACTGTAAAGAAACAGATTTGTATAGCAAGTGACAATGCCTTACGCCCCAGGGTGACCTCAAGGCATGTCTGGAACAATTTATGGCTCTGCAGGGGCTCTGCTAGTGCTGCTGCTGCTGCTGGGTGGTACAACTGCCTGGTTGTGGAAAGGTAAGAGCCAGCAGGGACTGATAGACCAACCATACGCCCAGCTGCATCCTACAATGAAGTGGCAGACATTCTCTGTAACCCCACACACAGTCATCTATGAATCCTTTGGCTCTCCAGTATGCAAGGACTTTGGTATATGGTTCCTAAGATCCAAAACAGCTGCTGGCCAACTCTGCTTAATTAAAAATCAAGATTAAATTGGGAAGCAAGGACCTGCAAAATCCAGTAACGTATTTTCTTAATATGTTACTGCAGGAAGAAAACAAGTTTCTGAAATTCAAATAATTCTGATACAAAACATAAATCTGCAAGTTCATACATTCAGAACATGACAGTGATTTAAACCTGCACACTTTATTTCATGTTTAATGTGGGAGAGGAAAATGCATGCAGCTAGTTACTGATGCTAAGCCAACCAACACAGGCTAAGTCTTACTGCCATATTACAGGGTTACTCACCCAGTTGTTCTGCTTTTGTCATGGATTCTGTCAATCTGGCAGTGACAACAGAACAGACCCAGTGCCTCTGTCTCAACAAGCTTGCTTTGCCAGAGGATATCCTATCACACGGCCACTTTTATTGGCAGTTTAAGTAATATGCAGGACCATGAGCAATAGCACTTCCTTGCAGAAACTCACCTTTATAATTAAGTAACAAGCTGGAGCATGAGCAAGGTCCCCTAATGCACAAAAAAACCCACCCGCTTCCTTGATTCAATTCTGTTATAGGTGAGTATAGCAGAAAATTTGGTCAGGTAGCTAGAAAAAGTAACATTTCGAACCCCCATAGATCCAAAAGACATCTGCCAGTACTGGTACTGACTGAAAACCTCTGCCTGACATAAGGAACTCTGTCATATTGAAAAAGCTTTAAGACAGACACTTAAAGGGAATGAGGAACCTACTAACAGCAACAGTTGCAGCTGGACTTGTGAGTGTTCACATCTAACTGGTAGCCAAGCCCTGAACTATTTTAAACTACTACAGAAATTCTACTCAATAATCAACCTGCCTTTAAAAAACAAATATTGTACATTACACATTTTTTGGAAGGATACAAAATCTCTTAGCTGCCCGAAAATTTCATCCACTTTGCCAATCTGTTCTTTATTATCCAAGTACACTGGGGCGTTGAAATAAGGCACCTTGTTTTCTTCTGTTTTGCATTTACAAACAATGTCATCTTCGCACGGATGCATGAACTCTCCCAATACTGAAATAAAGACCAAACAAGCTAAAGATCTCAAGCAGTCATTCTAAATTAAATAAATATAATCTATTCATGTCACTTACAAACTACCCTTTCTGGAGGCCCCTGGTCATATCCGCCTCTGTTGAAGCCTCCTCTTCCACCTCCCCGTCCAAAGCCACCTCGTCCACCACGATTAAAACCACCTCTGTCACCGCCGCCACCTCCTCCGCGATTGAAGCCACCTCCTCTTCCTCCTCCACCTCCTCGTCCACGAAAAGACATTCTCTACTACCTCCTAAATTGTGGACAAAAATCAGCCGTTTAAGAAGTAAAAGATATTTCACCTTTGATCTGGTGTATGAATTAAGGTCTCCTGACAGCCTTGCTTATGAATTTAACGCTTAGCCGTTTCACTCCTCCCTAAAAACATGCAGGCACATGAAAGACCACGTTTGCACCCAAAATATCATCCACTGCAACGCCTACGTGTAAAAAGTGAGCAGCGGGGACGGGCACGTTCTTCGCTCACCTGTATGAGGGTTGAACGTGCCACCCTCCAGCCCCGCGAAGGAGCGGCACAAATCGAGACCAGACTCGGCGCGCAACCACAGCGCCTTGCCCCGGCACCGCACAAGGCCCACAGGGCACCGCACAAGGCCCACAGGGCACCGCACAAGGCCCACAGGGCACCGCACAAGGCCCACAGGGCACCGCACAAGGCCCACAGGGCACCGCACAAGGCCCACAGGGCACCGCACAAGGCCCACAGGGCACCGCACAAGGCCCACAGGGCACCGCACAAGGCCCTGGCACAGGG